AAGGGCTGGTATGCAGCTGAAGTACATGGGGAGCAAAGCATGGCTTGCTCCACACCTGGACCGGCTGCTGAGGGACGTCGCTGTGCTTCACTCTCCCTTCTTCGGTTCTGGAAAGCTGGAGTACTACCTTGCCGCCCGGCGCCCGGGCCTGGAGGTGCGCGGCGTCGACGCCTTCGAGCCCGTCGCAAACCTGCACCGCTGCTACTTGAGGCAAGACCCGGTCTTCCTGCGCTCCTTGCTGCGCCTGGTGGGGCGCAGGGTGGACAGGCGCTTCTACTTCGGGCACCTTCTGCCGGGCGCTCAGAGAGGCCGCGCCGGGCGCCGGGCTGCCTGCGCGTACGTCCTGCTGCGCAACAGCTTCTCGGGGAAGTGGGGCTCCTTCGCACAGCAGAGGCCGCTGGCACTGAGCAGCGTGCGGCGTCTGCAGCCACCCTGCAACGTGACCGTGCGGCGCCAGGACGCGCTGGCCTACCTGCGGGCACTGCCATGCCGTGCGCACCAGTGCATCTACGCTGACCCTCCTTACATTTTCCCCGGCCGCAGCATGAACTACTATGGTACGAGAGGGGGCCACGACCTGGTCTTTCACACGGAGCTGCGAGACGCACTCTTCGCGAGTGGCCTGCCATTCGTCGTCAGCGTCAACGACGTGCCGGAGGCCCGGGAGCTCTACAGCAGGGCCGACTCCATCACAAGCCTGTGCTCGGGCAAGAACAGTTCCAAGCCCGAGCTGCTTTTAGTGCACCGGGGCAATCCTGGCGGCGAGTGTGTCAGCGCAGTGCTGTGTAGCGCTGCGCTGACATAGTTTGTCCGGGCAATCCGGGCGGCGAGTCTGGGAGACACCAGGGCAATCCTGTGCCCACGCCAGGATTGAGTGGAGCAATCCTGTGCCCACGCCAGGATTGACAATCCTGTGCCCACGCCAGGATTGACGGCTGGGCGTGTGAATGGTGAAAAAAAACACTCTGTCAGCGATGCTGCGAGGACGGCATCGCTGACAGACCTTCGGCGCTGGCCCGGTGATGGGTTTTTCGGGCAAAAAAGCGAAGTCAGAAAACCGACCTCGGTATAGAGCGAAGTCGGAATTCCGACCTCGGTGTGGTGCAGGCTCGGCAGGCTGGAGGCTTCTATGCCGGGCAGGTGGCGCGGCTGGGGTGTCCACGAGATCAGACGATGATCCTCCACGCTGTGCTGGGAACCTCGCATTTGTGACATTGGTGCCACCAATGTCAAGGAAACGAGGTTGGGCGAGCCAGTACTCATTGGGCGAACCCGTACTCATTGGGCGAGCCATCAAACGAGGTTGGGCGAGCCACTCAACCACTTTCACAGTGGCCTCCACGCCTGCTTCAAAGCTGCGCCTGCTTGGCGCTCCTACGGTGCCTGCTCGGCACCAGGTGCCCGCTCGGCGCTACCTACAAGTGCCTGCTCGGCACTGGCACTCTTACGGCGCCCGCGGCGCCATAGTGCCAAGTGCCTGCTCGGCACTGCAAGTGCCTGCTCGGCACTGCAAGTGCCTGCTCGGCACCGGGGTGCCTGTGCCTGCTCGGCACTGTGCCTGCTCGGCACGTCTACTTACAAGTGCCTGCTCGGCACTGTGCCTGCTCGGCACTACCTGCAAGTGCCTGCTCGGCACTGTGCCTGCTCGGCGCATCTACCTAAGTGCCTGCTCGGCACTGCCCTGCCTCCCGCCCACCGCCAAGTTCTCCGGGATGTACACCTGACAGGAAAAAAAGGTGGGGGGGTAAGGGGGAGGGGCTGTAGGGCTTGAACCACATGACATGCAAAACCGTGCAAAAAAACAACATGTCAAAATGACATGTTCAAAATCATGTCATGCAAAAACAAGTCATGTCAAAATCATGTCATGCAACCGCACCATGCAAAACCCATGCAAAAACCATGTCAAAAACCATGCAAAATCGTGCGAAACAAGAATGCGCGCGGCGCGTACGCTGGCGTCTATGCCGGGCAAGTGGCGCGGCCGGATGGAGGCTTCTATGCCAGGCAGGCGCGGCAGGAATGTGGCGTTGTCCGCAGTGGGTGGTAGAATCCCCCACTGTGGACAACTCTACCAAGCCATATTTCTCGTTAATTTCGCGAAATGTGCCATGGGTCTCACAAGGCAAGCCACTGAACCTCCACTCTCCCCCAGGTCCTTGCTATACGTGCTATATGTGCTATATGGGTCTTACAAGGCAAGCCACTGAACCTCCACTCTCCCCCGGCTCCTTGCTATATGTGCTATATGTGCTATATGGGTCTCACAAGGCAAGCCACTGAACCCCCACTCTCCCCCAGCTCCTTGCTATATGTGCTATATGTGCTATATGGCCCTATATAGCACATATACTACAGATTTTCGCGTACAGAATAATATAGCACATATAGTACATATAGCAAGGAGCTGGGGGAGAGTGGGGGTTCAGCGGCTTGGCGTGTAAGACCCATGTAGCACATATAGCACATCTAGCAAGGACCCGGGAGAGAGTGGAGGTTCCGCGGCTTGGCGTGTAAGACCCATATAGCACATATAGCACATATAGCAAGGAGCCCGGAGACTGTGGGGGTTCAGCGGCTTGGCGTACACTTTTGTTGCAATATTGCGGCAACAAGAGTCAACCATGGAGCAATTTTGAATCAATATTGCGGCAACGAGACTCAACCATGGATCAACATTGGCAACCTCTCTCCTCTCTCTTTAGAGGGCGTTTCCCAAATGGATTCTATTCTACCTGAGAGGCTCCTAGCACTCGTCCGTCCAGCATTTGACCTCGTCCTGCGAAGGATTCGAAGTCTAAAACGCTGCGTGCAGGCGTATGGCTGCAAAATAGTGACCCCTAGATATGCGCCGCAATTTGGCTCCAGGTTGCATTTCAAGCGATGTCAAGCTTTGCCAAAGGAAACCCCTTTTCCCTTTTTTTCGGGGACCCCTTTTTTTGGGACCCCTTGTTTTCTGTTTTTTTGTTTTTTCTTAGCCCTGCAAAGGTTGGCTCGCTTGAAATGCAACCTGGAGCCAAATTGCAAGCATATCTAGGGGTCACTATTTTGCAGCCATACGCCTCCACGCAGCGTTTTAGACTTCGAATCCTTCGCAGGACGAGGTCAAATGCTGGACGGACGAGTGCTAGGAGCCTCTCTAAAGAGAGAGGCTGGGGGAGAGTGGGGGTTCAGCGGCTTGGCGTGTAAGACCCATATAGCACATATAGCACATATAGCAAGGAGCCCGGAGACTGTGGGGGTTCAGCGGCTTGGCGTGTAAGACCCATATAGCACATATAGCACATATAGCAAGGAGCCCGGGGACTGTGGGGGTTCAGCGGCTTGGCGCACTCTGAATCAAATCGTGGGGGGAGTTCAATGCAGGGAAGGGAATCCCTGCATTCCCGGTATCTCTCTCTTTAGAGGGCGTTTTCCAAATGGATTCTATTCTACCTGAGAGGCTCCTAGCACTCGTCCGTCCAGCATTTGACCTCGTCCTGCGAAGAATTCGAAGTCTAAAACGCTGCGTGCAGGCGTGTGGCTGCAAAATAATGACCCCTAGATATGCGCCACAATTTGGCTCCAGGTTGCATTTCAAGCGATGTCAAGCTTTGCCAAAGGAAACCCCTTTTCCCTTTTTTTCGGGGACCCCTTTTTTTGGAACCCCTTGTTTTCTGTTTTTTTGTTTTTTCTTAGCCCTGCAAAGGTTGGCTCGCTTGAAATGCAACCTGGAGCAAATTGCAAGCATATCTAGGGGTCATTATTTTGCAGCCACACGCCTGCACGCAGTGTTTTAGACTTCGAATCCTTCGCAGGACAAGGTCAAATGCTGGACGGACGAGTGCTAGAAGCCTCTCAGGTAGAATAGAATCCATTTGGAAAACGCCCTCTAAAGAGAGAGAAGCAGGTCATCCACAATAATCAGAGGTGATTATTTTCACAAAATCGGTCGTCTCCGCGTTCTGGCCGTGCCCTTTGGTAGTTGACCACAGGCGACTTGCGCCGAGGTGTCGTAGGCCAGCAGCCAGCCACGGCCGCGTCTGCCGCTGCAATGGACCATGGTATACACTCCATCTCCTACAAGCAGGTACGCATGCAATGGAAGTGGCCTTGGACCTGACGTTGAGATTCTGCGCTTGTCTTACTGGGGCAAAGAGCCGCTCGACAAGCACAGCTGGGTGCGGGTGGCTAACTTCTACGCAGAATCCCAGGAAGTCAGGACGGAGCGTGACAACGGACTTTTTTTGCATCTCCTGAGCTTGGACGGGAGTGGGTGGCTTGGGTGGTGTCGGGCCGCGGCACGGCAGTGTCGGCTCTGGGCATCGCTGCCGAGATTCTTAAGACGGCGCTGCGGAATTGCAGGGCAGTCCCAGGAAGATTGTGACGACAAGATTATAAAAGCGAAGGGGCGACAGCTTCCGGCCAAAGAAAGCCGCTGGGAGGATGGGAAATCCGTGGCGGCCGCCAGTGGAGAGGCCGATGGCCGACTTCGACATGCCTAGCCGACACCGCCCCGCTGCCGGCAGGACAAGAGCCGCAAGCGTGCCGTGGTGAAGACGGAGAACTTATGAGAGACGCGCGCTGATCAAGAGTGGGAAGAGCAGGCTGAGGTTGAGCTTTTGGAGCAAAGGTCGGCTCGGCGAAGGCCGAAGCAGAAGTCTGAGCTCTCTGTGGCCTCCTGTTGCGGGACAGTATTCTTGGGCGTGGCTGGCAATTCAGCCGAAGGCCGGGATCTGGCAGCTTGTTCTAAGTGGAGTGCGGTCGCCTGATAGCTTGGTCCTGCTAACGGTATCCAGCGGAGGATTGGCCTTGCAGGCCCGTGAAGTTCAGGAATGACCATGGCTGTGATGAGGGCGGATGAAAAGTCAAGGCCCGCAAGCTGACATGCCGCGCTGTTTGTTGTGTGTTTTTGCAAGGTGCGTGCCTCAGCCTGGAATGCGCTGGCGTTGCTCGCAGTGGCCAGCACGGCCTGGGTCTTGGGAACTTGAGGGTTGGCAGCTGACTCGCTCGGGCTTCAGGAGTCCCTGTCCGCCCCCACAGTTTTCGCGAGGAGTTCCGGTCGGAAGGACCGTAAAGTCCCTCTTGCGAATGTTCCTGCTTGTGCTGTAATGCAAGGACCGCAATGGCGCACCGGCCAATCTTCAGTTGATCTTTTCGCATCCTGCGAGCTTGGTAAGATCGAGCCCTGGTTGCATGCTGAGTCGTGCCAGGGCTGCACGAGAGGACCTTCGGACCCAAAGCTTGCAAGTTTGGACGATTGCAGTTGCCAGGACAACAATGTCGAGGCCTGGGGGACCTGTGCATCAGAACGCTGGGCTTCTTGGCTCCAAAGGAGGCGGCAGACCTTCAGAGAAAGGACAGGTCCAGCTTGGCCTTGCTCGGCGATTGCAGAAGCCGAACGGGTCTGCAGGACAACGACACTGGAAAAGATAAAAGCTGTCTTGCGCCGTGGTTTTCAAGAGCGGTGAAAGGTTTGAGCTCAGGAAAAGGGCAGAAGATAAACTCAGGGAGGACCCTTAGGCAAGAAAGACGAGTTGAAGCAAAAACTGCGCAGTTTTTTTGGAGGAGGCAGGACTGTTTGCTTCTTTTACCAAAAGGTGAGTTCACATGTCTGGAGTCGAGCTGGAAAGGCGGAGAATCAGGCACCAAGAGGAGGTGGAGAAGGCAGAGAAGAAGGTGCAGGAGGCGGAGAGGAAGGTGGAGAGGGCGAAGAAGGAGGTCCAGGAGGCGGAGAGGAAAGTGGAGAGGGCGAAGAAGGAGGTCCAGGAGGCGAAGAAGGAGGTGGAGAAGGCGGAGAAGGAGGTCAAGGAGGCGAAGGCAAGCGGCCGGACGAAGGAGTCCGAGGCGGGCGGAGTCGGTCGCTTCCGCCGGCCGGCTGCGTTCTGAGCCGTTGGTCGTTGTGTGTGGTTTTGAAATTCCCCCCGCGGCCCGCAAATGCTTTCAGTGGGGCTGCCCTGATCGCATCCAGAGAACCAGGAAATCCCAAGGCATTTTTGCAGATTGCGGCGGTTCGTGTCCTTGGCAGGCTCGGTATGGAGCCCCCCATGAACGGATGGTTGCCATTCCTTGTTGGAGGTCGGTCATTCCTGCCGGTCAACATTGATTGAGACGTGCCGTTGATCCTTGTGAGTGATTTTGTCATTGCCTTCAGCTTGTTTTTCAAAGAGCAAGACCTGCCCTTCTGCCGTCGGGGAGAGGGAGGGCAAACTCTGATGTCTTTATGTCTCTGCACCCATTGGGGTCCTGGCTGCTGAAGGCCCAAGTGCATTCTGCGAATGTTCTCTTTGATGCAGTGAGTTCAACCATACATTCCCGGCTTTGCATCCACGGGCAGAGTTCTGTTCGATGGTTTGGCCCGTTGTGCTGCCATTCCATCCCCTTCTATTGTTCAATTTTAGATGTACCTGCTCATATCTGCCTGATTTGAAATTCTTTTGCTGAGGCGGAGCCACCCGACTCGATAAATCCAACAATTGCTGATGTCCTTACACTCCTCCGCGCCCGATTTTGGAGACAGGCACGGAGCAGTTGGTGCGAGAAGTTGCTCGCGAAGAAGTTGAAGTTTGGAGCAGCCGACCAACTGCTTGCAACAGTTGGGGCCACATGGGACTATTGTGGGAAGGAGGTGCTCCGTGAAAGCATGCAGATCCCCATCCAGAAGCTGCACGAGCAAAAGGGGAAGAACAGTGACAAACAGCTTCATCCTTTGTTCATCGCATTTGCAGGCCCAGGGCAAGGCAAGTCCCGGTTGCTGACAGAGTTCCCGGGCCTGGTCGAGCAGTGCTTGCAGAATGTGTCTGAAAGGCAGAAACTGAAATTCAGCAAGCAAACGACGAGCTTCATGATCAGCTGCGAGAACGGCCTCTCTCCCGGGGACTGGGCCACGGTGGAGCTCAATGCCCAACGCTTTGTGGCATGCCGCATGCTGTGGCAGCTGAGGAATGCAAACAAGGAGGCTTTTCGGGAGGTCGGCGCTCCAACAGACTTTGCCGAATTCCGCATCCAATGCCCTGCCGACCTCACACCCTCGCCTGTGCTTAAGTCTGTGCTGCGTGATGAGCTCAATCATAGCACGGTGGTGATCGGAGTCGACGGGATGCAAGGTCTGCCTGGATTTACTGACCGCAGTGATGCTGCGGGCAAGGACCTGCCATTCTATCAGGTGATGCAGGAGGTCTGCCGCCTCGTCAACCAAATGGAAGGCCCCTTTGTCGTAGCCTGTGTGGCCGCTTTGCAAAATGTGAAGAGTGGACTTGCTGGCAGTCCCCAGGCCCGAGTTTTTCTGGAGCTGCCACGCGTGACCGCCGTGACCCGCAACAAACAGCCGGTGCTGCCCGGCCACCGCCTAAAAGACCTTCTGATCGAAGACATGGGCGGGCATGGCAGAGCTTTGGAGTGCCTTCTAGAGGCCTTGATGGAGATGCCCAACGCTGCAGCAACTGCCTTGGTGGGTGCAGTTATGAGACAATTGAGGCAGAAATATCCCGACGCCATTCAGCTTGAGCCGGAGGCAGACCTCAAAGAACTGCTTCGCGCAGCTGTTTCAGGCAGATGGATTTCGTCTCGCGACACGGTCGGCAATCTAGATCCTGAGAAGGTGGAGCTTATTCGCGTCAAGTTCAAGGACGGCGACCCCTCCCAGTGCTTGTACCGTATCGACTTGCCCTACATTTGGTTGCACTTGATGCTGAGTTTGTCTAAGTTCTCTGACGATTTGCAACCGTGGAACTTGTTTGAGTCAGAACCAACCTGGCAACAGTGGGAAGAATTCAATGCCAGGTTTCGAGTGTTGCGAGCGTCTGCGTTTGAGGATGGACAAGTAGTTGACATTGCCGATCTACACAGGGGTGCAGTGATCCAGCCTGACAGCTTGAAAAGCACCAAGGTCATCAACCGGCATCTGCAATTTGCCAAATCCGGGCACCAATTGTTCTCGAGGTCCTCATGCTGCGGCAATCCCAAAGCTCGGACAAATTTACCTAAGGGACTGGGAATGCACCAGTGCGTAGTTGAAATGACAAACCAAAGCCTTACAGTGACGTTGACTGACAAACGTGTTTTAGTGGTGAATGCCGCCGGAGCTCCAGCTGCTGATGCCTTTCTCATGTTGGAAGAGGTGGGGGCAGGGGGCAACAATCACACCATCTCTGAATGTTTGCAATGCAAGAAGGGCGAGTCTCGATTAGAAGTGGAGATCGAGCTTGACAAAGCATGCGACAAAGCTGACATCCTGGTGCTTTTGCCGACAACGACAAAGACTGTGCCACACAGCGGCGGACGGCGCTTGATCTTCGTATCTGAAGCGCAGTACCAGGAGTACTTTGGCTTTTACGCTGGTAGAGCCTTCTATCAAACCAGGGCGGCCAAACCTTGAAGGCTGAATTGTTGCTGCTGTGCCATTTCCTGGCCTAGAATTGGATCTCGGGGCTCAAAGAATTGCGGAGCATGAGGAAAAAAGTTTCTGGGTGCAGAACGAGCAGATTGGGGAACCAAGGAAGGCCATGGAACGATTTAGGGGGCTGTTGAGACCTTTTGTTTCTTTTTCATGCTTGCATTTTGAGGGCAGCCGGTGAGTGACGAATCAAACGCATGAAAATGTGGAATTGGCTACATGCGATTTGGCCCCAAAGCCCATCAATATGCTAAGACATGTTTTTTTTCCTTGTGCTGGCCTCGGCCTCCTGGGCTGCCCCAAGAAGTCGTCCAGCTGCCTTGCTGCAGCGGGCCGGCCGCGCCTCGTCAGCCTGCCCGCGGCGTTGCCGCTGACCTGGGGCGCCGGCAGGGCCAGCTTCAGCAGGGTCTCCCGCCTCTCGGTGCTGCGGACCGTCATGGAGTCCACGGCCTGCAGCCGCTGCACGTCCCCGTACTGGGGGTTGAAGCTCCGGGCGGCGTTGGTGGGAGCCCTGAAGGCCCCCGCGTCCTCTATGGCCTTGATGCGGCGGTCGATCAGATCCTTGTTGTTTGCAGCAGCCGGAGCTCGGTGGCCGGCTGCCGCCCCACGTCCTCTGGGGCCCCGTAGACCGTCTCGCGCGGCCGGGCGTTGTAGGCCCCGGCGGCCTGCTCGAAGTCTTGCGGGCCACGCGTGGCCAGGTCCTTCTTCAGGGTCTGGATGCGCCGGTCGATCACGGCCGTGGCGTTGCGGTCCTCGGGCCGCACGGCCTCCTCGGGCAGCTCCCGGTCCAGGGAGGCGAGCTCGTTGCCCAGGTCCGTGGTGGTGGTTTCAGGAGGTGCCGGGTGGTTTCAGGAAGATTTGTTGGTTTCAGGAAGATTTGGTGGTTTTAGGAAAGGCCGGAAAGGCTGTGTGGTTTCAGGAAAGTTTGGTGGTGTCAGGAAAGTCTGGGGTTGTTGCAGGAAAGGTTGTAGGCTGGGTGTTTTCATGAAAGACTGGGTAGGTGGTTTCAGGAAAGGCTAGGTGGCTTCAGGAAAGACAGGTGATTTCAGGCGTGGTTTCAGGAAAGGCTAGATCATTTCAGGAAAACCTTGGGTTCTTGTTCGCACTCCGTCGGGGCCTGATTGCTACCCCTCGGGGCCCGATTGGCGGGACCTGATTGTTACCTCGCCTGGCGGTGGAATCACTTTTTAGGAACCAGGTGAAGGATTTTACAGAACCACACAGGACTCCCTTTTTAGGCGCCAGGGGGTGGATGTCTTTCTCAGGAACAAGATGGGGGTCTCCTTTTTCCGGAACTAGGTGGTGCATTGTTTTTTCAGGACCCCCGGGAACCCCTTCTCAGGAACCAGGTGGAGCAATGGTCCAGGTGGAGGATTGTCTTTTTTCATGAGCCCCTTTTCAGGAACCCGGTAGTACGCCTTGTTGTCGGCAACCAGGTGGACGGCGGACTCCTTTTTCAGGAGCCAGATAGTGGATTCCCTTTTTCCGGAACCAGATTGCAGTTTTCCGCATGTTCGGGAACTAGATGGCTGACTGTCCTTTTCAGGAACCATGTTTTCAGGAACCAGGAAATGTCCCGCGGCGTTCTCGACTCAGCGTTCCCGACTCCCGACAAATGTTCTCGACTCGCTGTTCTTGACTCTGCCCGAACCCCACCTGGGCAGCCTCCTCACGAATCGCACATTTGCTGGAAGAAGGGGTGGGTGAAGTTGGACCTCCTTGCGCGGTGGGTAGAAGTTCGCTTGCGTGGTTGTGGACCGCACCAATACGACCAGGCTAGGTGTGTTGGTCGTGGCTCAAAAAACCGGTGCCAAATTGGAACCCTGGCAAGTGGAAACATGGACCAGAACCTGCGTAACCCCCCCTGCTTAATTTTGAGCCACACCCAATTGGCTATGTTTGTTTTTTGGTCCTTGGCCCAAGTTGTTAAGAATGCTGCGCCTGTCAGGGCCTCTGAGGAACATGGGAGCAAAGCATCTCTCTTAGAGACAGGGCTGCTTCAATGCAGCTAATTGAAAATTAAACATCGCAACGGTTTTCAAAGGGTCCCAAAATCCTCCCCCCACTGATGTGGAGTTTCCCAATCCTTGTAAAAACAAGTGGTTTTGGATGTATTGTTTCAAGGATCTTGACAGGCACAACGCGAATCATCTCCCTCCAACCCAGAACTGGGGTTTTCACAGAATTAAGGGCTAGCCACCAGCTTCACAATGGTTCATTCGCATGTTGTATTTCCAAGGGAGACACGGAGCAATGCTAAGGGGACCGGAAGAAACTCCAAGCGGCGCATTTCTTCTTTGACTGCAGTACGAAGCCCCTGTCTCGCACTCGCAGCGCCTTTGCACTCAAGTCTTTGAGGGGTTGGGGAAGCCACCACGAAAACGCTTCAAAATGGGGGTCACCTTTTTACACACGTGCCCAAATGTGCCATGCCCCATACCCAATACCATCCTCAACTGCCAAGAACGTGCACGTCAGCTCCAAGCACACAGATGCACAGATGGCACGCACACAAACACACAAACGCATGGCGTTCGTGTTTGGCTGGTTTCTTGGCTTCTGAGGGAGGTTGTGATGGCGGCCTGCTGCCATGGCGCTTTCACATGAAACCACTTCTGAACCTTGCGGTGGGTTTTGCTCTTGCGGAACCTGGCTGCTTCGATGAGTACTACACCTATTCTATGTGTTGCAGCCCTTTATTTGGAGCTGAAGGCAATACCAAGTGTTGGTCATCGAGTCTGACATTTGAACGCTGCTGCACAGGAGCTGTTTTGGCTGTGCAATCAGCCGGACGCCATCTGCTGGCCATGCAGGATTATGGCACTCCCAGGTAGTTGAGTGGCACTTAACACGTATTTGCGAACCAAAACCGTCACTTTGGGAACGAAACACCAGACATCTGGCCGCTGAAAACATAGATCCGATCTTGTACGCATCCAAAAGTGTCATGCACCTAGACATATATCTACGCACCTAAAAAGACATGAGTACACGCCATAGGCCATTGAGCAACGCTTGACAAAAGAAACCCACATGGAACGGCGTCCTGGTTTGGCCCATGTTCTTTTTTTTAGGAACACCGTCCAAGGAACGTCGGGTTTGGTTCATGTGTAAAAAGGGGTGGTTTGGGGGGGGGGGGCACTTCTGCCGCGTTGGCTGCCAGGTTCCCCCCGCTTGGTGAATGCCGCGGGTATTCTTCGCTTTCTGGCGAAGTGGATGAGTGCCAGGGTGCGACTCTCTCTCACGAAGAAAAAAAACGGTTTCGCTTTTTTCGGGGTCGTTTTTGTTTTCCTCTCACCAGGCCAAAAAAAAAGGCTGCCATTTTTTTTTGCCGGGGTCCGAAAAATCCGGGCGCTCGCGTCTTTTGAGGACTCCCTGCAAGATCGTGGAGCTGGGTACTCAGGACGGGCTCAACGTGAGGCGCTGGGCGCGGAAGTTTCCGAACGCCAGCATCTACAGCCTGGAGCCCTTCGCTTCGGAGCGCGCGTGGCACGAGGCGGCGTTTCAGGCTGGGGAGCTCTCGCGGGAGAAGGCGGGAAGGGGAAGGGGAAGGTTTGGGAGGTGTGGGTGGTTTTAGGGAAAGAGGAAGCTGCAGGCATAGGATGTTTGGAGGCCTGCAGGGCTTGGTTTTAGGGAAAGAGCAAGCCGCATATTTCTTTTGGGACCCAAGTCAAGTTGGAGACACCCAGGTGCACTTCTTGCCCTATGGCGCTTCGGACAAGGCGCAGAACGGCACGGCTGAGAGCAGGCGCGGGCAGGAAACGATCGAGCTCCGGCCGATCCGCGATGTGCTGGACGAGATCTTGGCCTTAGAGGGTCATGTGAACTTCCTCTACGTCAACTGTGAGGGCTGCGAATATCCCGTGCTGCAGGCACGTTTGTGGTTTTCGGCAAGGGTTGACGGGACCTCGAGTTCTTCTTAAACTTCCCAAAGTGGTAGTTGCATTGGAATCCTCTTGAAGCTTGAAGAGACAATCCCGTTTTTGTGTTTGCACCTCCTCTCGCCTCAGTGATATCCATCTCTTGGATTCCTTGAAACGGCCCGCATCATTCATTGGTTTCCTTTCGCTCTCGGCTCCTGCAGTGCTTCGCCAAACGGGCGAGTGTTTTTTGTTGGTCAAGGCATTGGCGCCCTTGCACTGGCAAGGAGTTTTAGAAAGAAGATCATGTCAACCCATCAACTCCCCACTTCTTTTTCTTTTGTTTTGGTTGGTCTTCCCTTACCCATTGTACCCTTCGTTGAACCCATCCGCCCGTTCTTTTTGGGATTCTTCCCCTCCGGCCGATCTTTTTTCCGGCCCGAGGCAGCGCTGCCTGTCTGGGATCGCTGGAACATCCCCTTGCTGAGCGTGGAGTGGCATGCGGGCATGCCGTGGCTCGGCCCCGAGCCCCTGCGCAAGAGCAGGCCGGGACCCAGGGACCGCCGGGACCGTGAGAGACTCGAGCCTCACAACCGGAGGGGATTGATTTTTCCGGAGGGGGGCCTTAGGCCCAAGAAAGACCGAAGCCTCACCAGAAACGTGGAGGTGCGCAAGAACCCAGTGTTTGAAAACAGTGGGTTTTTGACAAACATCACCTTTTGGGCCAAGTTGAGGTGGTTTTCTTTGGATTTCACTTCCATGCGGGGCGGGTAGCGGTTTCCAATTCTGGCACTAGTGGCGTTACTTCGTGGCAGGCGGAACCGCCCCCAAGGACTGCTCATTGTTAGTGGCTTGCTTGTGGCTTTGGTGGTTGGATCCATTGCTGCAGTGGTTAGAGGGCCGTGATGGTTGGGTGCACGGGATGCCGGGCCTGCAGGTTTCGCTGAACCCAGACACTTTTTTCGATCTCTCATTCTTTCAGACCGCAGCAGAACCGCCAGTCCATGTCTGTGTGGCTCAACACAGGCCTTTGGGCACGTTTGCCGTCCGGAGGGGAACCAACATGGGGCTGCTCAAGAGCAATATTGGGAACCCAGGGTCAACAATCCCTGCTTGATGAGCAGGAGGTTGCCAGTAAAGAGGGAATACTCGGAATACCCCGCGCTTTTTGGGAATTTGGGAAGTTCCCCACTGTTCACCAGACTGATTCAACTGGGGCGTAGGCGTGTTGAAGCATATACACCCAAAACTCGGCTCCGAACTGCCGGAAGAATTCGAAAAAAAAGTCGTCCCAACTCCCAGGTTTGAATTTGGGTTGGAGTTTCCAAATCGGCCCAAGAAAGACGCAAAGCAGGCGCTGCGAGCTGGAGACGCAGCTGAAGCTGAAAGGCACTCTGCAGGCGGCGGTGGAATCTCAGGCAGTTCCATCGATCGAATCCAAACGGCACAGAACCCGAAAAACGGGGAGGAGGAGCTTGTCTCGTGAGATTGATATGGGTATGGGTCAAAACCGTTTTGGAAAACCAAATTTTGGTTGGTTGGTGAATTCACATCTTATTTCAGTCGGGATTTTTGTTGGGATTGGGATGTTCACTGACCGCAGGTTTCAGTCCTTCTTTCCTTTTCCAGGGTTCTGTTTTTGGGTACCTAGTTTTGACCCATACCCATATGTGAACAGCTGGAAAGGGAACGCCCCTTGTTTAGAATCAGGATGAAGAAATGCGCTTCGCCTCGTAGCATGAGCTGGAGATGGCAAACAAGTCAGGTATCAATAGATTTTCTAGATGCAATACATACTTGGGATTCCAACTGCGCGGCCAGACATAGGTACCGCAAAATCCGGACGAGTCGTCAGAATCATGCTTCGATTAACCCCTGGTGATTAATACGGGGTGTGCCTTGCAGTGGGGCCTGTCAAACCGGACGGGTTTTCGGATCCGCGGTCAGCATCACTTCTCTTAAAGGACACAACAATCAATATATCTTTTGAGATCTGCCCAAGGGTGGCTTTTTGAAGACGCCACATATCCCACACTCCTAGTGCATTTTTGCACTTGGCTTGAATTTTGAGGAAGCCACTTCACAGCAATCTTCCAGCGCGAAGGGTTGTGAGTGTTTGCTTCTGATGTTCCTCCCTTTGCGTGTCTTTGGAGTTGGCGCCGTGTTAGTTTTTTTTTTTTTTTTTTTTTTTTTTCTTATTATTTTTCTGCTTCTTTTATTTTTTAGAAAAAAAAAGAAATCAAAAAAAATAACATAAATTTTCCTTGGCGGCGGGGAGGAAATCAAAGGGCCACCCCAGAAACTCGGCATTCGCAATGTTTTGAATGGGCATCGGACCTCCAGAGCTTGCTGGTCTTGGCTCTTTTTAACGTGGGACATCTTTTCGTTTTCGCTCGGCATGCCCGCTTTTACGATTCGCATTTGCCGATCAGATGTTTAGCCAGTTCTCCAAAGCCCTAAGAACTGGCTTGGTATTTTGAAGTAGCTCGGGAACTATATGAACTCTCTGAACTCCATTAGTTAGCTCCAAGAACTCGAACAATTGCTCCACTGTAATTGTTGGAACATCTTCACACAACTCTAACAGCGATAACCACCAGCTTTTGACCAACTCTACGTGCATAGCTCACAACTCACAACAAACTAACGCTTTTTTTTGGGCGGTACTCGGATTTCCGAGCTCCGTGGTTTCCTTCGCTGTTCTTGGAACATGTTTTTTGTGTTTTTTTTTGTTTTTGTTTTTGTGGTTCTGTTCATTTTTACGGGTCTGCAAAAAACAACGTTTTTTGCCAGCCCATACCAAGAGTAGAGATGATTTCCCTTTTGGAATCCCCGGATCCGGGTTTCCCTTCTTGGCTTTCCCTTGCGTGTTGCTTCTGCAGGATGGTGTAATGGAGACATGGCGGATGCAGGGCTGCGCTTGAGGCGAAAAGGCCGCGCTCGAAATTTCCAAAGGGTAAACTAAGGGGAGGTTGCTTAAACAATATTTCTTTTCCCAACAGCTGAAAGGTACGGGGTGTCTGCCTATTCCTCTAAACTTGGTGGCAAGCCCAGCCATCCGGTTCCTTGGCTTTTTTGGCCTTTTAAGTGTTGAGTGGTAGTTTCCATTCAACTCACTGGAAGTTAAACTTGTAGGGAATCTGAGGACAGCCCAGTTTTTTTCGGGGCATTGGTAAGACTGGTGAAACAACCCACCAAAGCCATGGTTATATAGTTATATTTCTCCGTTCAGTGGGTTATACCTCACCAGGCTCATACTCAAGCCGCTTCTCTTTGTACAATGCCCCGAGTCTCTTGTTTATTTGGGAGGGACAAGGGTTGGCCCTCGCCAAGGTTTCGGGACTCGTGGACTCACGGAGTGTCCCTTTTGGGGCACATGTCATGGTTGACGGTGAACAGAGTGAGACAACATGAGGACACAAAAAGTGGCGGGGGGGGGCCTTTGATTCGCGGCCCTGGGAGCTGAAACGCTTTTTGAGGGCTTTTCGCTGAGCTGTCGTGATCTTCGGCTGGCGTGGTTCGCATGTTCCACACCGCTCGGGCATTCTCTGTGCGCTTTTGCCTATGGCTGTTTGATGCGCTGACAGCTGAAGAGTTTTGCAGGATATGGTCATGTTTCCTATGGCTATTTGGTTGAGACTTTGAGGACTTTCCGAATTGGACCCACCAAAAGTTACCAACTCTTTGCAGAGGGGTCAGATGTCAACAGTTTCTGCATCGAATCCGAACCGAAGCCCTTTCTCCGCATCAAACGTGTGTGCCAAAGCGTGCCGCGCAGCGGCGCCTTGGCGGCAAGCGTGTTGAATCTAAATTCTACGGGTTGATTCCCCATTCTTTCCAGGGGGAACACCCAGGGGAAACAGCCGGTTTTTGAAAAGAAAAAGGAAAAGGAATCAACCCCTAGAAAAATGAGCTGTTTCCTCAAGAGAGCATGGGAAGTGACGGCTTTGGCTTTTGCGAGGAACCTCTCGTGACATTTGTTCCTCACATCTGTTCCTCACATTTGTTCCACCCCTCTCTCTCGTCTTTGTTCATATGGCGGTGGGTCAAAACCAATGGTACCATTTTGGGGTAGGTGCACCACCCATTTTAGTCTATTTTAGTGGGGATGGGGTACGGGATTTTGACCCACAGCCATATGGGCTATTCTCTTACCTCGGGTCTCATCTCACGCGAGCGGAACGCATCTGGCCGGTCGGAGGTTTTGGATGGCGAACATGCAGGAACCCAGGCGGGTGCAGAGACGAAGCTGGCCTAGGTTCAGGTTTGCTGGTGGTTGGACCTGAGCAAAATAAGCGGGTTTTTCCGTTGGTTCTTTTCCTTGAAACCAAGAGTAGCCTCAGACAATTCAAACGCCCAAGTTTGGTCTTAGGGGACACTCAATATGGTTCTCCCTACTTCCCATTCAAACCCTTCCGAGCGGGTGCCTTCAAAAGAAGTTCCTTGGTTCTAAGAAGTTCCTTGGGGCCATTTTGGTACTGTTTCTCTGGGGCAAAGATCGGAAGCTGGGGGCAGTTTTCTTTTTCATTCGCCGGGGGTGACTCTGATGGTAGGGCGATGGCAAGGAGGGGCTGTGGGATTATTATGGACCCTCTAGCATCCCAGAAAAGCCATGGTGATTGACAGGCAGGCAGATTCCCATTGGGCCAGTGCTTTGAGGAGAGGATTCTGGGGAACGTATCGGATGTGGCTTTTGTGGAACCACCCCTCCAATAGAATAAAAGAGTATTAAAAGAGTACAACAAGGGAACCTAGAGGGGAAAGAACAGGCGAAACCCACGGGAAAAGCGCGAAGCCAAGCCGTTCTCTAGAAGGGCAACCTACGGCTAAACAATGAGAGAAATTGTGTCAACTCGGTGGATGCGCTAGAAGGATAGTTTTCTAGAAGGGTGCTTGCTTTCTTTCCTTCTCAGCTTCTGTCTCCATTCCATCTTTGGGGACCTGGAACCCAACGGAAATGGGAAATTTTCGGCGTTTCCATCAGACTGGCAAAGCACATGTCCCTCGTTTTTTTCCCTTCGGGAACCTCCCAAAATGGATGGTTTTCCTTAAGGGGCACTTTCCAAGAAAAGACGTTTGGGCAGAGTATCTATGGAAAATCGCAGATAGTTGCCCAGAGCTCCAGCTTGTATAGGGAGGCTCCAGTCTTCAGTGTGCCGCCTGAGCTTCTTTCACGTGTCTTTCTCTCAGCCTCTCCGTTTCTTTCTTCTCCTTTGTTTGTCTCCTTGTCTCCTTTTCGCTCTCCGGCTCCCTTTGTTCTTTATCTATTTCGTTCCTTCCTTCCTTCCTTCCTTCCTTCCTTCTTTCTTTCTTTCTTTCTTTCTTTCTTTCTTTCTTTCTCTTTTCCTTGTCTCTCTCTTTCTTTCTTTTTCTGTTTCCGTCTGCCTCTTTCGTTCTTTTTCTCTCCTTCTCTGTCTTTCTTCCTTTTCTTTCTTTCTTTCCTTCCTTTTCTTTCTTTCTTTCTTTCCTTACTTTTCCTTTCTTCCTTCTCTCTTTGTCTCTTTCTTTCTTTCTGTATTTCTGTCGGTCTCTTCTCTGTCTCTTTCTCCTTTTCTCTCTCTCTCTGTCTTCTCCTTTGTCTCTTTGTTTTTTACTCTTTCTTTCTCTTTCATCCTCTTCCTATTTCTTGCTTTTCTCATTCTTTCTCTTTCCTTCTCTTTTTCTTTCCTTCCCTGTCTCTTTCTTTCGCTCTACGCTCTGTCTCTTTTTCCTTCGCTTTCTTGTTCTGTCTTCCTCTTGTTCTCTTTTTTTGTACTCTTTCTGTCTCCTTCTCTCTTTGCAGTTTTTCTCTCTTCCTATTTTTGATTCTTGTTTCTCTACATCTCTCTTCTCTCCTCGCTTTTCCCACCTTTCTCTTTCTCTTTTTTTCTTCTTCCCTCCGGTATGTCTAGATCTTATCACCCCGTATTGCTTGTCATCAGCATTCGTATGGCGAGCTCTTGGGTCAGGGGCTTGTCCAGGGATGGGGAAAGGGGAGGCATGGAGGTTCTAAACTGGGTGGCTGGTCTTTTCTTTAGGGGACCCCCCAAAAGAAGGGTGGTTTTCCTTTGGTTTCCCTCTTAAAACCACCAAAACGGAGTATGAACAAAAGGACACCCCCCATGGGGCATAGAACTGCCTACCCAGGGCTCCAAAACCTGCGCCTGGCCGAAGAGCTTTTCGACCTTTTCGACCAAAATGGTTTTCCCTTTTTTGGGTTCCCATTTTTGGTCCCCCCCCCCCCCAACGAAAGCGTAACAAGTTAAGTTTAACGAATTTGTTTTGGGTCCTTTGAAGAACACTGAGTCTTTCTTCAATAGAAGTTCCTTCGAGGCGCAGGAAGACTTTCCGTGGGAAGCTCCCTGTGCACTTCCATGATTGGAAAGAAGGTAAGTACTCTTTTATGCAGGGCCCCGAGAAAAAGTCAGTGTTTCCAGAAGAACCTTCTTCATATGGCCATGGGTCAAAACCCCGTCCCAGTGAACATCCCAATCCCCACTAACATAGACGAAAGAGTGGGTGGTGCACCTACCCCAAAATGGTACCATTGGTTTTGAGCCACAGCCATAGGAAGAAGGTTCTTCTGGAAACTCTGACTTTTTTTAGTGGAGATTGGGATGTTCACTGGGGGTACAGGATTTTGACCCACAGCCATATTAATATGGGCTAGTCTCTTGCCTCGGATCTCATCGCATGCGAGCGGAAACCATGGTCGGTTGGTATTTACAGGGAATCATCATTCCAGGACTTCTTAGGTGGTGCAGGTTTTGGTCCATCCACAGTATGGACACCCCGTTTTGGATTCCTGAGAACCTAAAACGGAGTGCCAACTGGATCCCTCGAGCGCTTGGCTCAGGGGAGCGCTTCTTGAGGAGAGTGATGACCAGGCGGCCGCACAAATCCCGAACGGAGAAATATAAATATAATATATATATATATATGAATATATTTTTCTGGTGGCTGTCAAAAGGAACGCAGTTTCAAAGGTGCCAAAGGGGGAGATGCCACTTTTCTGGTGTGATAGGAGTTGCAGACACCTTCTGGCGATCTCACCTTCTGCTTGAAGCCACTTTCTGCTTGCAAGTGCCGGTTTCCTTGGTGCGTCAAAAGGAGAGCGGTTGACATGGTTTTGAAGCCACTCACTCGCCTTGGCGCAAAGGCGGTTTCGGTGTCTGTTCGACGCGTTTTCTTTTTTTTTGGGGGGGAGGGGGAAGGAGAAGGCCCCACAAAGAAAGAAGTCGGTGAGTCTGTGGAACCCACTCACTTGCAGCTTACGGCAAGACATCCCAGTGATTCCTGTTGGACACCAGAGTGACACCACTCGGTTTATCCTCGTCGGGGAAGATCGGATGCAACTCGGGAATCCATGTGAAGCCTTTCGCTTCTGGGTGGGTTTCAAAGGGAAGAGGGAAACCACCCAGGTTTTTGGGGTACCCCGATTGAGACAAACTCATATTCCAAGAGCAAAGCCCGTGCCGGCACAGCTGATGCCAACGCTATAATATATGTCTATGAATATCATACCTAGGTAATGTTTGGGTGTAAGTGATATTTACAAGCCAGTCCAAAAAGGAACAGGCTACGGTGTGGATACCAGAGTTCGAGCCTTCAATAGTCTTTTGGTGGGTCCACCACTTTGAGACAGACCCAGAAAGACACCAGTTTGTCGAATTTCCCATGGCGATGTGCTGAAAGCACAACTTCAGGCTGAAGTGGGTGTGATGTTTGATACGCTTGGACCCAGGGACCCTTGCGACTCCTGGACGGAGCTACTGTATGTGTGGACCTATGGGCAACCCGTTGACGAGGCTATTCCATGTGTAAGCATGGCGAAGGCACGCCAGGATCGCTTGGAAGCTGGCACTAGGTTCCCGGGGAGGCGTGGAGGTGTGGAGTGGGTGCTGGAACAGTTCCTTACTTTTCTCATTTGTGGGTGGACGAAATCCATT